CATTCCTCTGTTTCTTACTGATGTGGATGGAAATCGTCACCAGATGTCACCACTGGGGGCACTGCGTCAAGTAATTCCAGTACTGATGCTTGCCAAATACGTAGCATGTCTCTCGATCACTGCACTATTTATCCATCACTCCTAGCCGTCATGGTTTGCTATAGTTGTGAATGAATCATGTGTAGGTCTTCCACAGGATTAGGACTCTGTCCCCAGTGCCATCTCCGTGCTACAACCATTGTCAGCCTGTGTTGAATTATGGTAATTGTGATCACCACAGTGCTAAGATGGCTTTGTGGTATGGAGCCCAGCTTCTGTGTATCACATCTTATTAGGGCTTCTTTTGAATTTGCATGGTGTTATTTGTTTCAGATTGGAGATAGCCATGTCAGATGGAGATACTCCATGTGGAAAGTTTGGGTTGGATGGGACTCAGCAACAGGTGCTTGTAGGAGTTGATTAAAATAAACTGGTTGGTCAGACTCCATGACTTAACCATCTGTGCTTATGTTGTCACTCACCAGCCTTAGTTGTTTACTGGACACCTTTGTTGCACCTACCCACTCCACGTCACCCCACTCCACCCCCCAGCCCAACAACCCTCCCTCTCTCTCCCTCTCTCATTATCTCTCTCGCTCTCTCTCTCTCCCTTTCCCCCTCTTGCTCTATCTTTCTCCCTCCCTCGAATTAACCCAAGTAGATCAATGACTAAGAAAGTGGAACCACTTGTTTCAGATTGTTGTGCTGACAACACATAACCATTCCTCCTTACTGCATGTGTGTAGAGCTACAATAAGTAAAATAACACTCAATTCCTTCTTATTCCCATGGTTAATGTCTAATGGCATGACTGATAGACTGTTCCTTAACTTGTTGTGAGTAGTATATATAATCCAGGCTGTTGAGAATTATGTAGCTGATTACACTGAAGGAGAAACACAACCATATCCTGAAACAGAAGCTGTTGTGGTGCCTGATTGAGTTATTGATTGTCCGATTACCTACCTCTCCATACTGACAGGGCAGGTGTTATTGCACCACAGCTTCACATTGATTTGAAAACCCATGGAACTGTTAGCCCGCGGAATGAGGGACCTACTTTCAGAATTACAGGGCTGGGGTTCCATCCATGGGTGAAAGTCAACAAGTAATAGGTAAAGGTTCAAGGGAGAAAATTAAACCAAGAGTGTGAAGACCGGCTGTTTTGAAGCTCCTAAAATTGGGTTTGAATTATTACCATGATTAAACTTTGATTCTGTCCCTTGGTGGGCAGTCCACATGTGATAGTGGGTTTAGTAGCAACTGTCTGTTACCTGAATCTCCTTGTTCTTTTATACTCCTTTCAGCCAATGGTCTGTGATTAGCTGGAAAACAAGCTGACATGATGTGATGTAACTGAAATAGTTGCTGACATGATGTGATATAAATAAAAGAGTGGTTGACATGCTGTGATGTAACTGAAATAGTGGCTGACATGATGTGACATAACTGACATACATGCTGTGACTGAAATAGATGCTGAAATAGTGCTGACATGAGATAGTAGCTGACATGATGTGATATAACTGAGATAGTAGCTGACATGATGTGATATAACTGAGATAGTAGCTGACATGTTGTGATGTAAATGAGATAGTAGCTGACATACTGTGATATAACTGAGATAGTAGCTGACATGCTGTGATATAACTGAAATAGCAGCTGACATGATGTGATATAACTGAAATAGTAGCTGACATGATGTGATATAACTGAAATAGTAGCTGACATGATGTGATATAACTGAGATAGTAGCTGACATGATGTGATATAACTGAGATAGTAGCTGACATGATGTGATATAACTGAGATAGTAGCTGACATGATGTGATATAACTGAGATAGTAGCTGACATGATGTGATATAACTGAAGATAGTAGCTGACATGATGTGATATAACTGAAATAGTAGCTGACATGATGTGACTGAGATAGTAGCTGACATGATGATAGTTGCTGACATGATGTGATATAACTGAAATAGTTGCTGACATGATGTGATATAACTGAAATAGTAGCTGACATGATGTGATATAACTGAGATAGTAGCTGACATGATGTGATATAACTGAGATAGTAGCTGACATGATGTGATATAACTGAGATAGTAGCTGACATGATGTGATATAACTGAAATAGTAGCTGACATGATGTGTGATATAACTGAGATAGTAGCTGACATGATGTGATATAACTGAAATAGTAGCTGACATGATGTGATATAACTGAAATAGTAGCTGACATGATGTGATATAACTGAAATAGTAGCTGACATGATGTGATATAACTGAGATAGTAGCTGACATGATGTGATATAACTGAGATAGTAGCTGACATGATGTGATATAACTGAAATAGTAGCTGACATGCTGTGATATAACTGAAATAGTAGCTGACATGATGTGATATAACTGAGATAGTAGCTGACATGATGTGATATAACTGAGATAGTAGCTGACATGATGTGATATAACTGAAATAGTAGCTGACATGATGTGATATAACTGAAATAGTAGCTGACATGATGTGATATAACTGAAATAGTAGCTGACATGATGTGACTGAGATAACTGATAGTAGCTGACTGAGATAGAAGCTGACATGCTGTGATATAACTGAGATAGTAGCTGACATGATGTGATATAACTGAAATAGTAGCTGACATGATGTGACATAACTGAGATAGTAGCTGACATGATGTGATATAACTGAAATAGTAGCTGACATGATGTGATATAACTGAAATAGTAGCTGGCATGCTGTGATATAACTGATATAGTTGCTGACATGCTGTGATATAACTGATATAGTAGCTGACATGCTGTGATATAACTGATATAGTAGCTGACATGCTGTGATATAACTGAGATAGTAGCTGAAATGCTTTGATATAACCAAAAAACTAGCTGATCGTACACAAATGCAGTTAAAGATCACCCAATCCTTTAACATAGATACAGCCGTGACTGGATAACTTAGTAGTCAGAGACAATTCTTCCAACTCTGTGTGTTTATGGAACCTCCAAAAATGTCTTCAGCAGTTATTTTGAGTATGTCAGCTATTATCTTTTCATGTTTCATTAGTTTTCAAGTTATCTTCTTTAAGAATTTTTATTTGCTAATTAGCTTGAGCCATTTGAAGTAGAAATGAAACAAGTTGTGTTTGCATGTGGCTTTGTGATTGAGGTTACAGTGATCCAAGACTAAGTGTATAAACCTCCTGTGATGTCATCCATATTAGCTAAACAAATACTAACACATTTAGATAAATTTAACTGATGTCTAAATGTGGTTTATGCCAAATTAAGAAATATTGAAGTATCCTCTGGCAGGGGACACCAGAAATGGGCTTCACACACTGTACTGATGGCGGGAATCAAACCCGAGTCGTCAGTGAATGCATTAAACACTAAGCTAAAACACACACACACACCCCGCCACCACTGGGGTTGGTCAATAGTTGAGTCTGGACCACACAATCCAGTGACCAACAACATGAGCATCAATATGATGACGTACGTCAACCAAGTCAGAGAGCCTGACCACCTGATCCTGTTTGTGCATGTTATTATACATTGATGACGTCAACTGCTGCTCATCATATCAACCACTGGTTTTGTCTAGACGTGATTGTTACCTGCTGCTATCAGAGTCACACATGGCCAGTCTTAATTTAAAGGTCCACTGTGCATCAATGAATTATACAGAAATCAGAATAACTGCCCCACAATTCAAGTGGACTTCTTAAGAGACGAGTCTGCAGGCTAATTGACCATTATTTCCAAACATCCATGGAGCATTGTTCTATTACTGCAAGTCGAGGTAAAGAGACAATGCATAATTTAGACCTCTCCACTGCACAATGAGATTGGAATCTTAAGGCGCGATGCTGTGTATTGTGTTGGTGGGTGTGATTTCCTCGGCCGTAGTTATCATGTATATTTTAACAATGCCTACTCTGCCTCAATCAATCTCTTGCCAGTATTGATTGAAAACTGTGTCTCCGAGAAGCATTAATGTATGTGGAGATGATGAGTTTCCCTGTCTCAACAATATGGATGTAATTAAGGAGACACTTAACCAGCCCACTTGTGTCACAGAGAACCAGGCCAAAGGAGTTACTTACTCAGCTTGGTGGTTTAAACATTTGCCCATCTTGATAAAGGTGTAGCTATAGGTCCAATTCCAATGTGTGCAATGTGTGATGGCATGGTATTAATAGAATCTGCGCGCACGCGCCGCACGCGACGATGCGACGCGACTCACTCACTCACTCACCTCACTCACTCACTCCACTCACTCCTCACTCACTCACTCACTCACTCACTCACTCACTCACTCACTCACTCCTCCTCACTCACTCACTCACTCACTCACTCACTCCTCCTCACTCACTCACTCCTCACTCACTCACTCCTCACTCACTCACTCACTCACTCACTCACTCACTCACTCACTGTGGCTTTAATATACAAATGATTTTTATTAAATTGTATTAACTGAATATTTAAAACTAGAAATACTCTGAAAACAGTGTTTTTACTAACAAATGATCACACAGATATCATCTTGTGACAAAAAACCTTCAACCTCACCTCAAGGGATTCATTCATTAAAATTAGATGAAGTTGCAAGTTAGTGTATTTTCCAATTCATGCCCTGAGATTCATCCCTACTCGGTATCAGTCACTGGTTTGTGTGGCCCAAGTTTCTACAGGTTACACACACATTGTCATGATGCTACAGGTGGTCTGTTGTTATGATTTTCGATTCTGTCAAAATAGTGTCACAGTATATCCCAGATTCTTTCACCACTCCAGCACACATGTCATCTTCCTCAATGTCAGACTGACAGCATACTTAGCATTTAGATGAAGAAACCAATTGAAAAGTCAACCTCATTTATTAATCATCACCGGAAACAAAGCAGGCCTACAGAAGACAGCTGACTCCTCCAGGACTGATCCATACACACTGATCCCAGAGGGATCGCTGTTGTTCTCAACCTAATACCTTCATTGTTGGCCTTCCGAGTCTCAGCCTGCATGACCACTGAAAATATGACAGTACAAGCATGAGATTCTACATTGTCAGATCAGTTAGTGGGCACCCACCTCTGGAGTAGGTCTCCAGTGTTTCTGTTGGATGTATATAGTTATCACACAGTGATGACAATCCTGGCTACAGAAGGTGTATATATCAGTGTACATGGGGTGCTATAATGGATCTATACTCGCACCAACTTACTGCTGGTTCTAATCAACAAGGTAAATATTCTTCATACACTATGTATAGACTCACTTGTTTTGGATATTGATTTGTTCTATTTAATTGGAATGAACTGCCCCACAGTTTCTAGGAATGTTTTCTCAACAATATTTTGGTTACCTGGAGGATGTGATGAGTTTCTTACAGTGGAATGTTGGTGTAAAGCCCAAAAATGATTTTAATGTTTTTGCATTGACTACTTTGTCATGGTTTTTAATCCACAACTATCGCAACTCTCTGTTACTGGATCTTAGATTGATGTGGGAGAAAATTTGTGGCACAGTTCAGGACGACGCAGATTGCTGCACAGAGTTGTGTCCCTTAGGTGCACCAGAACCCTAAGACTGGTTCAAGTTCCAGGTCCCTCAAAGTGACATGTGCTTTATAACTATGACATTACTTCTTTTAGGCATTTTAGAAAATATAAATATGAAGGAAAACCAAGTTCTATGTACAGTCAAATGGTTTCCTCTCATCCCTGAATTTAACCCTGAATGACTATTAAACAAAAACATATGACTGATATTGATATTCAATGTACTTAGTGTACTATATCGCTATTGAGCCCTCTAGCTTGTATGTGCACACATTCCTCTATATGCTTGTACTCATCATGTTTTTGTACTCATCACATTGGGAACAATAAAAAAAATAAAAAAATAATTGTTAATCAAATAGCGAGAATACTGCGTCAATAAATATTTGTCCACTCTAAGCTCTATGTACAGTAAACTTCTTTATTGCATTGTGACGTTTCAGTATAGATACTAACACCATTATCAAGCAAGTATCTACACCAAAACATCGCACTCATTGCAATAAAGACGTTAACTGTCCATAGATCTCGGTTTTCCTTGATGACAGTAACTAACAAGTGACAGAGAATGGCAGATTATCTTTCCTGAGTTGTATTAATTACATAAATAATATAACGAGGGAAAGATAATCTGTCATTCCACGTCATGTGTTGGTTATTGTTTTTATTACCCATATGAGTTTTGATGTAAAATACACTAAAATGAAAACAGCAGTTCCATGTGTGAAGCGGCTTCATTCCATTGGCTGGAATCAGCCAATCAACATTCACCAAACAGTGTAACTTCCCTAGGGACATACAGGAAAATACTACCCTGTGTTCTCCTTCCCATGTGGGTAATAAATTACTGATATATTGCTCCAAGAGGTGTAAAACTCCCATATATTGCTTTGCAGCAGAAGTTGACATTGTTGCAACTTTGTTGCAGTTTTTCAATCCTATTATTTCTTCTCTGCACTGAAACAAAACCAGTTTGATAACGCCAATGATAGAATATTTTACTAAGAACTTCATCTAGAGGCATCATTATCTGTAGACCATTAGATGGTTGTATACCATCTGCATTAATATGAGATGATCCAAAGTTCACAAATATGTTGACATTTCCAACCATACACAATTTTTTTGTGAGGATGAAATTAACCGAATCTGTATGGCACAAATTCATGAAAAGATATGTGGATGTTTGAGACCATAGTAACAAAATCTTACACATCATATACTTGATATATAAGTGGTAACCATTGTAACTATCGACAGAAGAGAGATTGTTGTGTAATTAACTAATTTCAATATAAAAGTTGGAGTGAAATTTGTTTGTCTATCATCATTTTGTCAGTGTAGTTGTTTACCAATACTTTAAAAAACATACAGTCTATGGCTGCAAGTAGAACTGTGTACGCACATGGGTGCTTGCCATGTAGCTCAGCATGTCTCTTGTGAAAACATACTTTATAAAACACAGTGGCCTTGACAACTCTCCAGTCCCTATATTTTGTCTACAAGCTGAGTTTATTTGGGTGAGATCTGTGTAGTTTGTGTATATGCTTAGTGGTTATCTGGGTGAGTTCGGTGTACTTTGCCTAAATGTTTATGGTTATCTGGGTGAGTTTGGTGTACTTTGCCTAAATGTTTATGGTTATCTGGGTGAGTTTGGTGTACTTTGCCTAAATGTTTATGGTTATCTGGGTGAGTTTGGTGTACTTTGCCTAAATGTTTATGGTTATCTGGGTGAGTTTGGTGTACTTTGCCTAAATGTTTATGGTTATCTGGGTGAGTTTGGTGTACTTTGCCTAAATGTTTATGGTTATCTGGGTGAGTTTGGTGTACTTTGCCTAAATGTTTATGGTTATCTAGGTGAGTTTGGTGTACTTTGCCTAAATGTTTATGGTTATCTAGGTGAGTTTGGTGTACTTTGCCTAAATGTTTATGGTTATCTAGGTGTGTTTGGTGTACTTTGCCTAAATGTTTATGGTTATTTGAAGTGAGTTTGGTGTACTTTGCCTAAAATGTTTATGGTTACCTAGGTGAGTTTAAGTGTACTTTGGCCTAAATGTTTATGGTTATCTAGGTGAGTTTGGTGTACTTTGCCTAAATGTTTATGGTCTATCTGAGGTGAGTTTGGTGTACTTTGCCCAAAAGCGATTATGGTTATCTAGGTGAGTTTGGTGTACTTTGCCTAAAATGATTATGGTTATCTAGGTGAGTTTGGTGTACTTTGGCCTAAATGTTTATGGTTATCTGGGTGAGTTTGGTGTACTTTGCCTAAAATGTTTATGGTTATCTAGGTAGGTGACTTTGCCTAAATGTGGTTATCTAGGTGAGTTTGGCCTAAATGATTATGGTTATCTAGGTGAGTTTGGTGCACTTTGCCTAAATGTTTATGGTTATCTGGGTGAGTTTGGTGTACTTTGCCTAAATGTTTATGGTTATCTAGGTGAGTTTGGTGTACTTTGCCTAAATGTTTATGGTTATCTAGGTGAGTTTGGTGTACTTTGCCTGCCTAAGGTGTTTGGTGTGCACTGCCTAAATGTTATCTCTAGGTGTGTTTGGTGTACTTTGCCTAAATGTTTATGGTTATCTAGGTGTGTTTGGTGTACTTTGCCCTAAAATGTTTATGGTTACCTAGGTGGGTTTGGTGTACTTTGCCTAAATGATTATGATTATCCAGGTGAGTTTGGTGTACTTTGGCCTAAATGTTTATGGTTATCTGGGTGAGTTTGGTGTACTTTGCCTAAATGTTTATGGTTATCTAGGTGAGTTTGGTGTACTTTGCCTAAATGTTTATGGTTATCTAGGTGAGTTTGGTGTACTTTGCCTAAATGTTTATGGTTATCTAGGTGAGTTTGGTGTACTTTGCCTAAATGTTTATGGTTATCTGGGTGAGTTTGGTGTACTTTGCCTAAATGTTTATGGTTATCTAGGTGAGTTTGAGTTTAGGTGTACTTTGCCTAAATGTTTATGGTTATCTAGGTGAGTTTGGTGTACTTTGCCTAAATGTTTATGGTTATCTAGGTGAGTTTGGTGTACTTTGCCTAAATGTTTATGGTTATCTGGGTGAGTTTGGTGTACTTTGCCCTAAATGTTTATGGTTATCTAGGTGGGTTTGGTGTACTTTGCCTAAATGTTTATGGTTATCTAGGTGAGTTTGGTGTACTTTGCCTAAATGTTTATGGTTATCTAGGTGGGTTTGGTGTACTTTGCCTAAATGTTTATGGTTATCTAGGTGAGTTTGGTGTACTTTTGCCTAAATGTTTATGGTTATCTAGGTGGGTTTGGTGTACTTTGCCTAAATGTTTATGGTTATCTAGGTGAGTTTGGTGTACTTTGCCTAAATGTTTATGGTTATCTAGGTGAGTTTGGTGTACTTTGCCTAAATGTTTATGGTTATCTGGGTGAGTTTGGTGTACTTTGCCTAAATGTTTATGGTTATCTAGGTGTGTTTGGTGTACTTTGCCTAAATGTTTATGGTTATCTAGGTGTGTTTGGTGTACTTTGCCTAAATGTTTATGGTTATCTAGGTGTGTTTGGTGTACTTTGCCTAAATGTTTATGGTTATCTAGGTGAGTTTGGTGTACTTTGCCTAAATGTTTATGGTTATCTGGGTGAGTTTGGTGTACTTTGCCTAAATGTTTATGGTTATCTAGGTGAGTTTGGTGTACTTTGCCTAAATGTTTATGGTTATCTGGGTGAGTTTGGTGTACTTTGCCTAAATGTTTATGGTTATCTAGGTGAGTTTGGTGTACTTTTGCCTAAATGTTTATGGTTATCTAGGTGAGTTTGGTGTACTTTGCCTAAATGTTTATGGTTATCTAGGTGAGTTTGGTGTACTTTGCCTAAATGTTTATGGTTATCTGGGTGAGTTTGGTGTACTTTGCCTAAATGTTTATGGTTATCTAGGTGGGTTTGGTGTACTTTGCCTAAATGTTTATGGTTATCTAGGTGAGTTTGGTGTACTTTGCCTAAATGTTTATGGTTATCTAGGTGGGTTTGGTGTACTTTGCCTAAATGTTTATGGTTATCTAGGTGAGTTTGGTGTACTTTTGCCTAAATGTTTATGGTTATCTAGGTGAGTTTGGTGTACTTTGCCTAAATGTTTATGGTTATCTAGGTGAGTTTGGTGTACTTTGCCTAAATGTTTATGGTTATCTAGGTGGAGTTTGGTGTACTTTGCCTAAATGTTTATGGTTATCTAGGTGAGTTTGGTGTACTTTGCCTAAATGTTTATGGTTATCTAGGTGAGTTTGGTGTACTTTGCCTAAATGTTTATGGTTATCTAGGTGAGTTTGGTGTACTTTGCCTAAATGTTTATGGTTATCTAGGTGAGTTTGGTGTACTTTGCCTAAATGTTTATGGTTATCTAGGTGGGTTTGGTGTACTTTGCCTAAATGTTTATGGTTATTTGGGTGTGTCGATATTTTCATCAATATGTAACAGAGTTTACCATGATGTGGGATGAATTCTGCTTCAGACAGAGATATATATACAAACAAGACATTATGAGAATTCTCAATGGTATCCCAATAGATCTACTGGTCCATGATGTAGGTACCTGGGGGTTTATTGTATTCATCCCTGATAAAGGTACAGGCTGTGAGAATCATGTCAGTCTTGCAGGGTATGAGAATTGTGTCAGTCTTGGAGGGTATGAGAATTGTGTCAGTCTTGCAGGGTATGAGAATT